TTGATTGTTATAAATATATGTTATATTCTTATCTATGGTGCACATTCATGCAGACAAACATTCATATGCTAAATAAAAACAAATCTATCTTAATATTCACAGGATTAGAGTAGGCAGGATAGAACTAGAGAGATGACTCAGTGGTGAAGAGCAATACACCTCTTCCTGGAGGATCATGGTTGCATCTCAACTACAACATCCAAGTAATTCATGACTGCCTGAAAGTTCAGCTCCTTGGAAGCTAATGTACTCATGATATCCAAGGGCAACTCCTTCACCCTCGTGTGTGTGTGTGTGTGTGTGTGTGTGTGTGTGTGTGTGTGTGTATGCATGTGCGTAAAGTAAAAACATAAATCACATTTTAAAGAAGTGTAGGTATGAGTAGAAATGAAATGTCAGTGTGGAGTGGAGAGTGTGGGCATGCTTTCTCATGGTATCAGAAGAAATGCCATCATTTATCCCAAAGTAGTGTAATATTTGCTATATTCTTACCATTCACTGACAAAACTGACTTCAAACTAAAATTTATAAGAGGAGATAAAGAAGGAGACTCCATTCTCTTCAAGGGAACAGTTAACCAAGAACACACTATAATCCCAGATAGAAGCACCAAACACAGGTGCACCCATTTCATGAAAAGTGGATACTGGACTTCAAGGAACAGGAGAGGGCCCGGCGGTTGAGGGACATGCCTTTAATTCCAGCAATCATGAGGTAAGGGCAGGTGGATCTGTGTGAATTCAAGGCTAGTCTGGTCTACAGAGTGGATTCAAGCACAACTAGGACTACCCAGAGAAACCCTGTCTCAAAAAATAAAAATAAGTGTTACGAGTAGTGCCCCCCACCCCCGCCGCCAGCCTGGTCCCACAGCTGCGCCAGCCCCAAATAACACACAGACACTGTATTAGATATAAAACTGTTGGTCTGTTACTAGTGTTTCTTATTGGCTAGCTCTGTCTTAAATATTAACTCATTTCTATTAATCTAAGTATTTCCATGTGGTCTTATCTTACCGGAGAGAGGGCCCAGACCTCTGCTCTTTTAGTCTTCCATGTTGACTCTCCCTACTACCTCCTCCTCAAATCCTCCTTGTCTCCTAGTCTCTCCTATCTTGCTTTCCTATTGGCCAACCGTGTTTATTCATTAACCAATAAGAGAAACATATTTACAGAATGACATCTCTCATCAAACCAGATGAACCCAACTCAGTAAGAGTACATGATTTCAGTAGCTCATTTTCTCCAATACATGGGGATCTGGATGACAAATAAACGGAGGAATATCAGAATTAACTGAGATAGTCCATCAAACAGACTAACAGATCTACAGATATCACACAAACACCAGAGTATATGTTCTACTTAGCACTCAAGTTTCTTTAAATACAGCAATACTGGGATACAAAACAAATCTTATCAAATAAAGAATTGAAATCACCCTGAGTGATAAACAGTACCTGCGGGAACTCACAGAGATTGATCAACACTCATTGCGGCAACAAGTGGGTCAAAAAAAAAAAAAAAAAAAAAAATCAAGAGGGAGAGAGTAAACGACCAGGAATTAAACAAAAACACAACATCAGGGGAAATATATATGACTAAGCACCAAAAAAGTAAATAAATAAAAGCACAGATAAATGTCTTAATTATGTAACACAAGACACAAGAGTTTGGAAAGACAAGAACAGAACAAACCAAAAGCTAGCAGATGTGAAGATATAAAAATGGAAAGAGAGAGAAGGGAGAGAGAGAAAGAGGGAGGGAGAGAGGAAAGAAAGAACGAGAGGAAGGAAGGAAGGAAGGAAGATCAAAGCAGAAATTAATGAACTGAAAACAAAAAAACAGCACTAGGAACAATGTGGCTAATATTTTCAGCTACTGTTATCAACATGTAAATATGGGAACCAGGAAAGACAATAAAGAAAAGGAAGCATGTAGAAGAAAGGACATATAGAAGAGTGAGAATGAGACTCAGGACACAGACTATTGTAGGTGCTGAAGTACAGAGTCAATATTTTGTAGGTATAGAAGGAAAAGTGGGGTCATAAAAATTTCTGGGTTGATAAAATTACAACAAGAATAAAGTATAAAGCTGTCAAATTAAGCATAAAATAATCAAAAATTAAAAACTAGTAAGAACAAAAGGATAATATGCCCCTCATTCCCACACGCTTTCAACTGTGTATCACTGTTGTTCTTTTGTTACAGTTACAGGATAAAGCTGGAGAAGGTGAGTGTGTCCCTGGTTGGGGGTTCCAAGGTAAGGGTCCACCTAGGAGAGCGTAGCAGGTGAGGGTGACCGAGGGAGAGGGAATAACACGCCAGGCAGATGGAGCTTAAATGAGTTTATTTAGAAAGGGGAGTGAGGGGAAAGGGGAAAGAGACAGACACCAGGAACAGGGCAGGCCAGCATACTGCCTGAATCCTTACAATCACTTTAACAAGTGAAGGGAGCACCACTGAGGAATTCTGGCAAGCTGTCAGTGTGTCCTAGATGGAATCCCACTAGAATTCTCTGGTCTGAGTACAGCCCCACCCCTACCCCAACCTACTGGGTAAATCACAGTTCTGTCACTATTGAATTAGGCATCATACTTTCTCTATGAATGGTGTTCTGGGATTCAGACCCTGTAGGAGTGCAGAAAGCCCTTCCTGCTGGACATCTATCTTTGTGTGCCATTGGAGTGCTTAGCTGGATTTCAGACCATACTTCTAGGGATCATTAGTAGCATGCCCCAGGTATGAGGGAGGGGTGAGGGTGTGCCATTCTCTCTGGCTGGATGGTGTCAGATGTAATTTCCCTGGCCCTCCATCTGCTACTCCATCTGGTGCTAATTCTGCTCTGCCAGCTAGCTGTGTATTCCTAACTCAGCCCCTTGACTGTTAGACAGCTGCCTCCTTCTTTCTCTAGTTCTCCTGCACTTCCTGAAAGCGTGTCTGCAGCTGGAGCAAGGTCTCTCCTGTGGATCCGATGAGTGGCACACTGCACAGGTAGGGACAGTGAATGGGAGCTGTGGAAGGAGGTCAGAGAGAGAGCCGGGAAAAGCTCTCTTGCTGGCGTGACTTGGACAGGAGAGCATCGGGTTGAATTTCCTGGTTTCATCTGTCTAGGTTGTAAGTTATTTCTCCCTGAATAAACATCTATTCGGCCTATTTGTTTATCCTGATCCTTATTTAACCGCGATAGGCAGCCAAGGTCCACAGCCTGCTTCAGTCCATTCCTTATACACAAGACGGTCCCTAGTTCTTTCCCACAGCCCAGATTGACTTGGGAAGATAAGGTCCCTGAGTTCAGTGAAGGAGTCTGTTTACCCTAGGTGAGCTTTAACGCAGGAGTTAGTATGCTGGAAGCTCCTGGTCACACTAAATTCCCCTCAGTCAGTGGCCATGACTTCCGGCCTCCTGAATTATAACAGTGAGATTCATGGAACACAGAATGGTTAAGTTTTAGAAAGAGGTTTTATTGTAGGGTGCTTGAGATAAGAAGTCAGAGCCTCGTCTAGTAGAGGCTAAAGTCTCACTCAGACTCACAGAGGTAAAAAGTGTTAGTTTTTACTGAGGGTTAACATGGCTTCTGTTCTGTCAAACTTCCAATGCAACTGGGAGTAAAGAGGAAGACTGAAAGCAAGGTCTGGAGGAGTCTCCCAGAACAGGCAGAATGGGAAGACAAGCCTTGCAAGTAGTCTGAAGCATGACTGAGAAGAGACTTGAAAAAAGCATCATTGAAGTCTGTAGATGGAAGTTTCTGTCCCACCTGGTCCCGCAGACATTTAGTCTCAAATAAGCACACAGAGGCTTATATTAATTATAACCTGTTTGGCAATGGCTAAGGCATCTTATTGGCTAGCTTTATCTTAATTATTAACCCATTTCTATTAATCTGTGTATCTCCATGTGGTCTTGGCTTACTGGAGAGTGCCTGAGCATCCTATCTTCCTGGTAGCTACATGGCATCTTGCTGGTGACTCACTTTGTGTTCCTCCTTCCCAGAATTCTCATCTAGGTTTTTTATTTTACTTATACCAAGTAACCCATTTTACAGAAGTCCAACTGAAAACCATAAACTGTCCTCTGGAATGCTATTTGTCTGCTCATATGGTTGGGAACAGTGGGATGTGTGAATGGAAATTTCCAGAAAACAGTTGTATTTGCAAAAGATACATTAATTGCAGCATATACCTTTAGACCAAAGGTTGGAAACAAGTCTATATTTATCCAAGTTATTTCCTTCATTTTGGGATGGGATGGGGCTGGTGAGTTCATGAGGGTCATGTGCATGTGTGTGTTCACATGTGGAGAGCACAGGTAGAAGCCATGTGTTTTCCTCAATGGTGGCCCATTCTACTTGGTGTAATGGTGTGTTAGCACCCATGAGCATGTGCTCCTTACATGTGCAGAGGGCAGAGAAGGGCACTGAGAGTCCCGCTCCATCACGTTATGCTCATCCCTTTGAGACAAGGTCTCTCACTGAAGCTGGAGCTCATCAATTGGTCAACCCAGCCAGCCAATGAGCCCCAGGGGTTCATCCATCCATCATACTGGGGCTACAGATGTGTGCCCCTACAACAGGTTTTCTTTGGATGCTAAGGATCCACACTGAGGTCCTCATTTTCACGGCAGGTACTTTTCTGCCTCAGCGTCTTCCAAGCCCCTCTTCTCTTCTCTTAGGAATCTTGACCTAGAAAGTAAATCCTTAAAAGTTTCTGGCTGTGTCACTCACTGCCACAGAAGTCATTTAGGGAAATGTTTGGAAGTGTGGCAGCTGGTATTTCAGATTATGTCAGAGAGAAAATGCCCTCAACTTTCTACTGTTGACCAGTCCAGGAAAGGAAGTCAGAGGCAATGCTGAGTAGATGCCAGGTCAGACACAAAACCAAAGCTCCTCCACGGTCCCATCAATCTGTTGAGGGTCCCTCACAGGTTCCAAGCATGAAGAATGTCATATTTAATGAGCAAAGCAAATTGCCAGAGAGCACCAGCACTCCAAAGGAACAAACACCATTTACAAACTAGAGATATAAACATTTATTTCACAACTTTGCCATCATTTGCTAAGGAGACAAGTACTGGGAACATGAAAAACACTGGGGCAGCCAGGTGCTGAGTCTTCCAGGCAGCAAGGAACAGATGCACTAGACTGGCCAGCTTTTCGTCACTTAGAGCCACCTCCTTTCTTAGTCCTTATTTCATGCCAAATTTTCACTAGAGGCTCCCTGTTCTTCCAAATGAGTTCATGACCATAAGTGATATACCATCTGGAGAAAGACAAATACTTCAATGTTCAAACAACATGACATGCAACACAAGCATCATCACAGCACCAAGTAACACCAGGGTTTTTTGTTTTTGTTTTGTTTTGTTTTTGTTTTGCTTTTTTGTTTTCATTAAAAAGAGTATTTGTTTTCTGTGAGTGGGTGTTTAGCCTGGATACATGTCTGTGCATGATGTATGTACAGTGATACTGGAGGACAGAAGAGAGCATTGCATTCCCTGGAACTGGAGCTGGGAGGACCATAGTCACTCCTCAAAACTGAATACACCAGGTAATTTGATACAAAGCTTTGCTATTTATGATACATAAAGGATAAAAGCAGGATGGGCCTGAGTAGCTGTTTGGAACTATGTCACCGCTTTACACAGTTCCTTATACTTATTTTTCTGTACATTTTATTTATGTCATGGGAGGACTAACGGATGCCATGGTCTGTGTGTAGAGGTCTGAGAACATCATGTATGTCCCAGGGATGGGACTGTTTGTGAGGCTTTGTGGGAAATGCCTTTGTCCACCTCAGAGGCCCTAAACTGTAACTTTTTTATTCCCTGGAAGTTAACCATCATGTTTGTTTACTTATTTTGGAGACAAGTTCTCACAATGTAGCCCATGCTGGCTGGATCATGACAATTCTGCCTTCCAAAAGCTGGGAATAGAGGCATAAACAACCATACCCACGTTTGTTTTTCTCATTACAGACCAAAGGGAACAAGTGTGTAAGAAAATAATTTGCTCAATATGGGAATAGCTTTGTGTGTCAGACATGGTCTGACCAAAGGTACAATGAATCTTTTTTTACCATGAATAAGAAATTTTAGGTGTGGGATTTGCTAACAAGGACTATAGTGGTATATATACCTCCTGCAATTCCATCTGCCCACACAGAAGGAGGCCTGCCAATCCAAATGCTGACTACAGGCAATGAGCAGTGATGGTCAAAAGTACAATTCCTTAATTTGTACAGTCCTCTGACTAGGAATCACCAGAGCAGACAACACACACCTGAGACTCTCTGCCCTAACTACTGCACACAAACAACCTACACCTGAGATCCCATGCTCCAACTACTTCACAGAAAGCAGGAAAACCCACACCTGAGACCTTGTGATCCAACTACCGCTCACAAAGCAACATGAAGGCCATCTCCCAGATGCTGAGTGACACTGGATGGCATTGCTGTAAATTACTTGAAGCACAGGTCATGGAGTTAATTTAGGGCATCTTCAGACTCCAGGAAAAGGGCACTGGCTCCTGGAAGATGTGAGCTGATGGAGAATGGCAACCTAAGAAAGCACCTTCTACTCTTGCAACCCTGACTTGTATACTTACTTCTCCAAACAGACTTCATGTTCCCAGAGGTAGACTTATTGAACTCATCTTTTCCTAGACCTACTTTTAATATTTAAGGCAATGGGCATCCTGGCCATGCTCTTAATACTGGCAGAGGTGCAGAGGCAAGAGGCCAGAGGTAGAAGCAGAGGCAGGAGGATCTCTGTGAGTTTGTGGTCAGCCTGATCTACATATTGAGCAGGTTTACATAGTGAGACCCTGTTTCAAAAAGAAAAAAACAAAAGGTATAAAGGATTTAAGGGATGGAAGATAAGAGCACTTTGGAGCTCCTTAAGAGCCAGGTTCACCTCCCAGCATCAACATGATGACTCATAACTGTCTGAAACTCCATTTCCAGGGGATCTGCTGCCCTCCTGTGCCCTCTGTGGTCACATCATGAATGTGGTACACAGACATACATGTAGGTAAAATGTTGATACACATAAAAATACACCTTAAACAGTGCTCTATCTTCTTTACTTTGGAATCAAAACAACGACATAATGTTTCAACATGTTAAAAATATCTGAAAATGCTTATTTATTGTAAAGGGCTTGACTTATACCAGAATTTTAATTCCTGCTTATGAAAGCTGGACACAATGGCACACATCTGTAATCCTAGCACTTGGGAAGCTGAGGAGTGAGAATTGCCATAAGTTCAAGGACAGCTTGGGGTGGATATTGAATATGAGGTCAGGCAGGAAGTACATAAAAAGACAACATCTTAAAAACAAACAAAAGACACCAATTAACAGGCAAGTAACACAATTCTCTGGAGCTAAAGAAAGATTCTCTCCTCAATGTTAAGAGAAAAGGACAGCCCTCAAACTCCAACGTAAGACCCTTCGAGTGAGCCACTTGTCAAGAACTCTCCATGAATAGGGTGTCTTTCTGATCTCTTGAGCAGAACTGAACACTTCAGTCTGACAAGTTATACTAGATTATACTCCTGAACACAGATAACCAGGGATGTGGCAAAGCCTAAGTCAGGAAGATATTGTGCTGCTTCTGGTCACTGAACTCCGGCCCCCACACTTAGGCTGTGTATCACCACTGAGGGGCGCCAGTGCTGGTTACTCTTTCCAGATGCAGCAGAGCAACAAGCTAGTACTCTGCAATTACTGCTCTATGACCTTAGTCAAATTACCCGTTCCTCCTTTAGTTTTTTTTTTTTTTTTTTTTTTTTTTTTTTTTTTTGGGGGGGGGGAAGTGGTGGTGGTGGTGTTTGAAACAGGGTCCATGTAGCCCTGGCTGCTGGCCTCAAACTCATAGATATCCACCCCATCTGTCTCCCGAAATCTGAAATGAAAAGGGTGCAGTTTCACACCTGCCTCGAGCCACCCATCTTTATGCAGCTTTCTGGTCTGAAGAACGGAACATCTCAGAGGGTTTGAAGAACTTAAATTAACCCTTGGGTCATGGAGTTCTGTGAGCATCAGATTTAACACATCACACAGCAGCAGGTCAGGTCTCTACAGCTCTGTTGTAATTCTATGGTACAGTGTGAGGGTGTGCATGTGTGTGGGTATACACATGTATGTGTACAGATGTGTGCATGTGTACATGGGGGGTGTGTGTATGTATGCACCTGTGTGGGTCAAAGGACAACTTGCAGGAGCCAGTTCTCATCTTCCACCACATGTGTCCTGGGGTTTGCACTTGGGTCAGGAACCTGGGCAGCATGCACCTTACGCTCTGAGCCCTCTTGACAGCCCTAGTTTCTGAATCCTTACTAAACACAAAAAAAAGCGAAGAGAAAGGATTCCCTCTGCTTTTCAGATCCTGGACTTTAAAGTGCATCTGATAATATTAATTTCAGAATAAAAGAAAAGACAGCGTTTAGAATAATAAAAGCCCAGCAGGAGAAAAGATGCTATGAGAATACATGGAAAGTACAGATAAATTTAGAGTTCTGCAAACCATAGCCTCTTTTCTACACTTTGTATCTCAGACTGTTACAATTAGAGCTAGTGCCATTCTTTAATCACCATGGAAACTATACAGGCACAGCAGCTCTCAGCCCATCCAGGGCAGCCGCCTCACTTAGAAAGACTTTCTGTTTTGTTTCCTGGAGTTCAACAGTGCTTGTGACCACACACCCTGTGTACTCAGTCTGGAGTGCTGCAAAAAGAGGCCCTGGGTTTGTATTTAAATTTCTGCTTTCTACTGCAATGCCAGTCATGCCTGTTTCTACTGTTAAACAGGAACCTCAGGCCACTAGCTTGGAACTTACATGTACCACATGCTGGGTACCATCCACACTGGAACGTGGTCCCACACCAGCTTCTACCCAGACATGCTGAGTTCTCCCACACATGGGGTGCAGGGAGAGAAATGGCTGCACCAGCTCTGTACACCAGTGAGACGGGGCCGGTAAGAGGCGGGCAGAGTAAGTAGCTCAAACTTACATTCCAAAGAGAGCTCCCCCAAGATGTGCTGCATGATCAAAAAATTTCCATCCCAGGATCATCCCAGCTGTATCCATGGCAATGATGGCTTTTAAGGCCTAGAAGCCAGGGAGAGAAAAGAGAAATGGGATGATTTTGATCCTCCACTGCAATTTAAAGGCAAGATTTCAGTCACTGCCTGAACAAGGCTATGGCCAGGACTTCATCAGGTACTTACATTGCCCGCTGTGAAGGTGAAGACAGGGAGGAAGATAATGGCGAGTCTCCCTTCTGGGATCTTGGTGCAGACTGCTGCAAGCACAGCCATGATTGCTCCTGACTGCAAGGGAATGAGCACAGCGGTGAGGACAGCAGGTACCATGAGACCCTGGGCTGCCCAGGCTCTCGGCAGGCTGATGCACTCCACATCTGGAGGGGAGCACACAGCTTTAAAATGTTCCCCCATGAATGTGCGCAGTATCAGGAAAAGGAAAATAGCTGTCACACAATGCTGGAAACAGACTACACTATCACTATGCAGAACTTAAACATACCACTCAATGAGCATGTGGCTGTAATAAGCTCCAAGGGTAGCATTAAACATGCACATACCAAAGAAACACTGTCTAATGAACTATGGGGTAGTTTTGTTGTTTTTTACAATTTAAATTTATAGTGGCTGTGAGGTATTTTTCTGGAATACACTAATTTGACAAACCTCTCTTAATGTCAATCCTAATTCTTCTAAATGGTGGAACAGCTCAAAAACTTGATCATAATTTCTTATTTACATTAGCTCTCATAATACAATTCATTCAAATAATCCTAACATAGCAGGCATGATACTATGTACTCGAGACACAGAGGTGAACAAATAGTTCCCACCTTCATGGACCTTATAGCACAACAAGAAAGACATCTTAGAAAAATGAGTAATTCTGAGATCAGGAGGAGCTGTGTGTCAAGGCAGCACATGGAAAACCAGGCTCAGAGCAATCAGCTGCCCGAGCTCAGGTCAGATCCCAACCCAGCACAGGAAGAGCATCCTGGAGAACAGCACAGAGAAACCATGGCTGGAGGTGAGCTGCACAGCTTGGCAGAGGACTAGAGAATCCAAGTGTGAAGTGCAGAGAACAGGGTAAAACGCAGCGTGGCAGGCACTTAAAACTGTCCCTTTTCTAACACGTCACGGCAAACTCAGAGCTGCCTATTTAAGGAGAACAAATCTTAGTTATCATTAAAAATAATAAAATCTCCACTGAGGGAACTACAAAGTACTTCTTTGTCATTCTTGTCGAGTATTAGGCCAGAAAGACAAATTGTGACAATCTGTAGGAGTCTGCAGTGTAATATCCCAGCCCACAGAAGGATAGCGTGGAAAACATCAACTATGTCCTAGAGCCAGCAGTGCTATGCCAGTGCTAATCCTAGCTGTGGTGAGGCGTGGTTACAGAAGACACTAGCTAAGAGGATAGACCTGTCTCCTTTGCAATGAGACTCACAGTGAAAACAGACTTCAGTTAAAGTAATCAACAGACACTATTCCCAGTGGAGCATATGCAAGGGGGAGGTTGGTGAACATGGTATTTATATATCTAAAAACATCTTCTCATGGACTGCATATTAATTTTAAAAGAAAATGTAGTACAGAAGGTGGACAACAGCTGAGACAGTAACCCCAGATGGGGCAAACAGACGCCATGTAACTGTAGCCCTGGTACCTGAGGACAAACTTGTCTAACATTCCCACCCAAGACAGACAAGCTGACTGAATCTTAAAGAACAAGACAAATCCACAATAGCCACCCTGTTTTATTCAAAACCACTGGTGGCATAAAAAAGATGACCCGTGGAAATGTAACAGCTTTTAGAAGCCCAGAAAAACCTAACAATTAAATATAATCATGAGCTTAGGGAGAACATTACTGGAAAAAACTTCCATAATTGGAATATGAATTATGAAGTTTAATGTAGTAGCTATGTAATAACAGTGCTATGGGATATTCAAAGATATTTGTTTCTAGAAAGTATATGCTGAAGTATCTAGAAACAAAGAGACACGATGTAAGAAAGTTGTCTTTGAGGATGGTAGCTCAACACATAGAAGCACTTAACACTAAAGCCCGAGAGAACCTGAACCTAGTTCCCAGAACCAAAAGCAGAAAGGAGAACCAGCACCAAAAGCTGTCCCCTGACCTCATAGGCACAGCACACACATGTGGCCAAGTGCACTGTGTCTGCCTCTCTCTCTTTTTACACACACACATTGTGCACATGTGCCCATGCTTGCTCTCTCTCTCTCTCTACACACACACACACACACACACACACACACACACACACACACACAAACACTCTGCTCAAATGATTCTGAAAAGAGTAAATGTAGTTAGAGAGGAAATGATGATATAAGGCAAAATGTTAATAGCTAATGGATCTGTGCTAAGATGTTAGAGCTGGTGTAAAATGAACCACAGAATTAAATAAATAAAACAAAGGAGTGAAATCTTTGTGACTGGGTCAGGCAAAACTTTCCTCACTGCAACATCAAAAGGGACCTCGAATAAGTAAATTAAATTTTGTGCAAACTAAAAGCATACTCCTTTGAAAGACATTGTTCCCTGAAAAGACAAGACAGGCTAAAAAAGTTTGCTGGTTAAAATTCTGATAAAAGCAGGCAAGGTGGTACATGCCCACAATCCCAGCACTTTGGAGGTAGTGGGAAGGGGATGAGAAGCTTAAGGTCAGCCTTAGCTACATAAGTATGTTTGAAACAACAACCTAACAAAGCACTTGTTTGTAGTGAGATATTCACTTTGTCTGCACCTGTGGCACAGACCACGCCCATTGGGGGTGGAGACAGGGGCAGACATTACCTGGGGGAACTAAGGCTGAGGAGGGGGCTCGGAGAGCTCTCTTGCTTGCAGCACGGGACCAGGAACCTGCTGGTGTTCATCTGTCTATGTTGGAAGTTATTTCTCCCTGAATAAACATCTATTCGGCCTATTTGTTTCTCCTGATCCTTATTAAACATTAATATCTGGTGTCAGAAGAGGGATCCAGATTTTCACCGGACCTGGTTTTCACCCAGGCAGCAGACACTGTTCCCTTCCCCTACTATCCCTGAACAGACAGGGTCCCTTGCCTAACCAGGTGGACATAATGCAGCTTGTGGGACTTTCGCCTCTGCCCTACAACTCCTTTACCTCCACAGCGGCCCTCAGAAGGTACTCATAGCTTCTCATCTTTTGCCCATTTCCCCACGTTGCATTTGCGCAACACCCCGCTTGTGTGTTTCCACGGCCCAGCGGTACCAGTCGGAGGCAACACCTGTTAACCTTGCAGTCCCCGCAATTTTCACAAGGCTCCTTTCACTCCTTCATTTAACAAAATTTCACTTGCTTTAGTTTGTTAAGAGTTATTCTACAGGGACCAAGATGAGAAGGATCGTCTGCTGCTGGACACTATTTGGTGGTACACCTCCAGGCGTAACTACCACAAGCTGAGATCTACAACTAAAAGCATCAAAGTTCCAGGACAGCAGAATTACACCTAAGGTAATTGCAACATTCTTCCCAATTTAAGCTAATATAATATTTGAGATTAATTGTTCCATACCTATGGTGGATAATCTTACAACGCAGGACTTTAGGAATTCTTTTACTTCATATATAGAAGGAATTTTAACAGAAGAAAATCATGACTTAACCAATATATACATTTTTTTTTGTAATAGCAATGGGTTTCATCATTATTATATTCTTAAAGAAATGGTTTGAGATTAGAGCAAACAATAAGGAACTTGTACAAACCATAACAGACTTAGTAACAAGGATTCAAAATATTGAAAATGACAATAGAGAGCTAAAAAACAAAACACAGAATATTGAAAATGACAATGGAGAGCTGAAAATTAGAACACAAAACATAGAATGTTTAGAAAAAAAGGTTCAGAATATTGAAAATGACAAGGGAGAGCTGAAAATTAGAATGTAAAACAGAATGTTTAGAATAAAAGGTTCAGAATATTGAAAATGAAAATAGAGAGCTGAAAAACAGAACACAAAACAGAATATTTGGAAAAAAGGGTTCAGGATATTGAAAATGACAATGGAGAGCTTAAAATTAGAACACAAAAACAGAATGATTAGAGAAAAAGGTTCAGAATATTGGAGATGGCAATAGAGAGCTGACAGGTAGAATATAAAACATGGGAACATAAAAGTAACCACTACTGAGGCATGTCTGATGCCTCAATAACCAAAACAGAAACAATGCAATGCATTAACATGCTAGCAGAAACAGCTCGTTCCTGGTTGGACAAAGCTACTGATAAGGTAAATAAACTGGAACATCAGATGGAAAGACTAGCAGATAGAATCTGTTCCATAGCTGAGGATAATGGCAAGCTAGCAGATAGAACATTGTTTCTGGAAGGCAGTTTACATGCCATTCAGATAATATCTAAGGATGAGAATATTAAAAATATGGAGTCATTTGTAGTTGGAGAAAGCAAGAAACTGACTGAATCAATGAAGTCTCTAGAAAGTTATATGATTCAAGAAGTTCAGACACTCAAAGATGCAATGCTGAATAAATTTCAGGCCTTAGAAGACCTTCAGTCTAATACATCAGAAGAACTACAGGTAACAGAGCATAAAAGAGACTTAAAATTTTCTACACCATTTAGGGTCAGGGGAGTTTTCCCTGTTTCTATTAATGAAAAACCAGCAAAGAAAATCACCCAAAAGGTGTTGTTGCATATCAGTGGGAACCAATATTGAAAGATTTAAAAGGTATAAAGGAAGCAGTAGTCTCTTATGGCATGCACTGACCATATGTGAAGCAATTAATACAATCATGGACAAGGAATAACAAGGTAACCCCTAAGGATTGGGATCAATTAATATCAGCTATCCTTGAAAACTCCTCTCAATTAGAATGGAGGACTTTATGGAGAGAGGAAGCAAAAGCTCTTGAACTTCAGAGCTTAAAGAAAAGTTATAAAGCTCCCCAAGATAAAATTCTTGGTGAGGGTCTTTATGCTGACCTAGAGACTCAAGCTACCTATGATGAACACATCTTGTCTCTATGCAGTACAGCAGCTTTGAATGCTTGGGATAAGGTTCATGTACTAGGGAAGAGGATAGAATCCTATACCAAGATAAGGCAAGGACCGAGAGAACGCTTTAGTGTATTCCTAGAAAGGTTGTCTAGGGCAATACAATTAGAAGTAGCAGACACAGATTCTAAGTGAATAATCATAGAATCTTTAGCTTATGAGAATGTGAATTCACAATGCAAACAAGTGCTTAGGCCTTTAAAAATCAGATCAGCACCCTTGGATGAATGGGTCCTATATACAGCCAACATTTAATATAATGACAATAACACTGAAGCCTGGGTAGGAGAAGCCATATCTAAAGGTCTGAGAAGACATCAAGATAACAGAGGTCTTAATTATGTAACATAGAAGCTTGGGTAGGAGAAGCCATCTCCAAAGGTTTGAAAAGATATCAAAATGTCAAATGTTTTAACTGTGGTAGGATAGGACATCTAAAAAGAAATTGTAGGCAAATCATTTCTAGAAATAACACTCCCAGGAATGAATCAAACAGAAGGCCTCAGCCTTCTGGGTTATGTAGAAGATGTGGCAAAGGCTGACACTGGACCAATGAATGTAGATCGACCAGAGATAACCAAGGAAACCCTTTACAATCGGGAAACTCCTTCGGGGAAGGGGGTCCTCTCGAAAGGCCCCCATGTCAAAGGTGGTCCGGACATTCCCAGTCACTGTGGAGGACAATCTCCCCAGGACGATTAGAAAATCCAGTGCCTATTGTAAAAACTCATACTGCTCTGGATGACAAACTAGTAATGAAAGTCGAATCAAACATGAAAAAAGGAAATAAAAAACGTATATATATTTGGCAAACCTCTATAAATAGTCAAAGGCATAGATTGGTAGTTAAGATGAATAACAGGCTGTTTTTGGAGGCACTGTTGACACAGGTGCTGATGTAACTATCATAACTAATAAATCTTGGCCTCAAAGATGGTCCCTGCAAGAGGTAAATGTTAGTATGTTTTAAACAACCTAACAAAGCACTTGTTTCCAGATTATATCAAGAATATCAAACAAATTCAATTAAAAATATTAGTGAGCAAAAAAACAATTCAAAGATGATCCATGCAGAACAAACACAAACTCATCAATATCACTAGCCATTGGAAAAAGAAAAGTCCCAACCACACTATAGCTGTGAGTGGGTGAAGACGTGGAGACTGGGACTCTCACACTCTGCTTGCAGGAAAGCACAGAACACATCATGGAACCCTTGCTAACTTACAACACTCTATGTAGATCAGGCTAGCCTGGAATCTACAGAGATCCACTTCCTCTGCAACAGTGCTGGGATTAAAGGCATATGCCACTATGTCTGGCCCAGTGTTCAGGGCACAGTAGCAGATTTAAATGTGTAATGAGAATTATGTACTTCTAGAGTGGGCTCTCATTATTCTGACGTACTCTTCCAAAATGTACTATATTCCTGTAAAAGCAGAGACAGGCCAGTTAAAAGATAGACAGACAGGCCAGATACAGTAGCTCATACCTTTAATCCCAGTGCTCAGGAGGCAGAGGCAGGTGGATCTCTGAATTCTAGGCCAGACAAGGATATATAGTCAGATCCTGTAGCAAAAACACAAACAACAAAACAAATTTAAAAAAGAAGGAAAGAACTAGTTTCAACAAGTTAGACTCTGTCCTGCACACATAAGTCCCAGACCACCCGCATAGTAAATACACAACAAAAGTGAAATGAAAAGGCTACAGTCTGAAAATCTCAGTTTTACAAACGTGTAAAGTCTAAATTTGACAAAAATATCCAAAGGAATTGTTTCTATGTTAATTTACTGGGGTTTAATGTCATACTGATACTGTAAGACATAAAGTAACAGCAGGCTGAGAGTGTACGGAAGCTGTTTTCATTTGCAACTTTCTTATAAACAATCATTTCTCAATGAAATTTAATATTAGATCAGAAAATATTTACACTAGGAAGGAAGGAGAGAGAGAAAGAAAGAGAGGTAGAGGAAGGAGGGAAAAAGACAGGGAGGGAAGGAGAGAAAGAAAAAGAGAAGAGAAGAAAAAGAAGAGAAGAGACGATACTTACTGCACCAAGTGAAGGTCCATATCTTCCCGTGGCAACTTTACACACATAACTGACAAAATTGGAAATAACACCTGTGAAATAAGCCACATTTCAACAATTTAAGTATAAAAATATACTTTTCCCTTTTAGACAGGGTCTCATTCTGTAACCTAGGCTGGCCCCAAACTCTCATGAAATCCTGTGCCCCTGTCTCCCAAATGCTGGATTACAGGCATAAGTGACTACCAATCCTAGTCACACTCACTAATTTTTTGGTGCTAAGGATCCAGTAAGGGCATCACATCAGCCCAATACAAATTACTCTCAGCAGTAACTCTGGTTGCTAATCTAAAGCTTTCTCACAACTGAACACACTAGGGGAAAGGAGCCAGATGGCTAAGAGGTCTGGAAACCATCTATCTGTAAGATGGCTGATCTGAACTACAAAACCAGGGTCCAGTGAGATGAAAATGTTATGTTTAAATAGTACTATATTCTGAATCTTTGCTTTACTCACTGAAAACCCAAGTAATTATTGGGAATCTATCAGATGAGAAGTAGGGAATGAACAATTTAATTTGTCTGTGATGCCCTTCTTTCCACACAACTTGATAAACAAATCCATCCCAAGTCTTTGCTGTGTACAGACTATCACTGTAATAATCATGCTTCTGTCCCCAAGGCAGAGAGTCTTCAAAGTCCATTGTTCTCAGAAGAAAGCCATTACCTGCAGACAGGTACACTGCCATAAATTGCTCTTGGCCAAGAATGTTCACAATGCTAGATGAGAAGCTCCACAAAACATACATGTTTGCTGCCATGTGGAATAAGGAGAAATGACTGAATGTTGACAGCAACATTGGAGAACACAGAACCTCTGCAAGAGGAGAAAGAATGTGGTAAACATGCAATACTAGGCCATGAAACTTTATTCATTTTAAGCTTGTCTCATTATTGTTATTAAATCAAACATAAGAATCCAAAACAGTTGGTTAAAAATATAAATAAGATAGTTTTAAAAGAGCGTTTCCTAAGATTACAAACTACCTTAACAAATGTTTCTACTTGGTAAGTAGCCATAGATCATCCTAAAGTACAAAGTACCTTGTCCTTCTCAACAAAGCATGAGGAAATTATTTCAACTACAGACACAAAATTACATTTAATACCTCCTCAAAGAATAAGCCTGCAGTGATTATATGTCTTAACTTTAAATTTTTTATTTAATTTATTCTTTAAATATATGGGTGCTTTGCTTGCCTGCTTGAATGTCTGTGTATCCCTGGTGCCCAAGGAGGCCGGAAGAAGGGCAATGGGTATCCTGGAATTGAGGTTACAGGCAGTTGTGAGCCACCAAGTGGGTGATGGAAATCAAACCTGGGTCCTCTGGAAAAGCACCCAGTGCTCTTAACTACTGAGCCATCTCACACTATATAGCCATAGATGACCTAGAACTCTATGTAGTCCAGGATGGCCACAAACTCAGAGATCCTCCTGCCTCTGCTTTCCCAGTGCTAAGATCAGAGTTTGGACCATTATGCCTGGTTCAATTTTTAATTTAAGAAAGGAAAGGAAAGGAAAGGAAAGGAAAGGAAAGGAAAGGAAAGGAAAGGAAAGGAAAGGAAAGGGGAAGGGGAAGGGGAAGGGGAAGGGAAAGGAGAAAGGAGAAAGGGGAAGGGGGAAGGAAAGGAAAGGAAAAAGAAAGGAAAGGACCTACTATGTGTAAAGTAACATTCAGGTACCTGGGGATTACAGCAGGGAGAGACAAGGTTCTTGCCCTCAAGGAGTTTACAGGCTCTACTCTTGTACTTTGTGCATAATTACTGACAAATAACTCATTCATGTAACATTCTGATTAATATAAAGCATACTTTCCATATTATTTCTACCTCAAAATAAACTCACATCAGTTAGACTTACTTGATGCTGGATTGGATGTAAAATATCTGATCATGGTTCGATGTAGCGACGGCACCCTCCATAGGCAGAACACTAGAGCATTTGCAGCTATGATACCTACAACATAGAATTGAAGGCGTTAAAATCAGAGCCAAGAAAATCTGATCCAGTCCACATGGTGATGCCCGGCCACAGTTACAGGAGTGCACTATACATTTGGTAAGGGGCAGTGCGCTGAGGAACATAAACCATACCAATGTCTTTCAAGTGTCAAAACTGCCACATGGTAAATCTCTAAGAACTGGCTTTCTTTTTACAAAGGAATTTATTTAAAGTGGGCCCACACAGACAACTTTCAGAGTCCTTGGCTCCTTGCTTCTGCTGCTGTGCTGTGTACTCAGGCTGGCCACCCTGTCAGCTTCAGTGTGTTCCCTGTCTTCCTGTGCAGTCCTAAAAACCCAGCCTTCTCTCAGTTTCCCCTGGTTTCTGAGGACTGACTCAGGCTGTCAGCTCAGGAGAGCTAACTGGGAGGCTAGCATCCCCCCTTTATTTTCTGAGACAGGGTTTCTCTGTGTAGTCCTGACTATCCTAGAACTCACTCTGTAGACCAAGCTCACAGAGATCCTCCTGCCTCTGCCCTGAGTCCTTGGATTAAAGGTGTGTCTACCACACCCAGCTGAAGCAAGCATCTTACTCAGAGTCATCTCCCTAGCCCAGGAAATTTCTTCAGCCAGATCAATATTTTTTCCCTTCAGAACTGATAGGGGAATGTCCTTCTGGATGCTGTGAATATGTTTCTATTATTAGTTGATGAATAAAGCTGTTTAGGCCAATAGACAGGCAAGATGTACCCAGGCAGGAAGCATAGGCGGGGCTACCAGACTAGGAGAATTCTGGGAAGAGGAAATGAGAGAGTGAGTTGCCAGAGATGCCATGTGGCTGCCGAGGAAGCAAGATTACCGGTAAGCCAAGACAACGTGGAGATAAACAGATTCAAAGAAATGGGTTAATAATTAAAAGAGAGCCAATAAGCCGCCTTAGCCATCGGCCAAACAGATTATAACTAATATAAGCCTCTCTATGGTTTTTATTTGAGACTAAACAACAGTGGGACTGGGCAAAACAAACTTCCGTTTACACGGAACAGTTTACTCTTCTCAAGTAATCGGATCTGTAATTATTGTTTGATAATGGCCAAACCAGAAACAGAGGCAAGAAAATCAGAAACTACTAGGGTACAAACTCACAGTAAGGAGGCAAAGCCCACCTCAAGGGACTACTTCCTCCTAAAGGTTCCATAGCCTCCCTAAACAGTGCCAGCTGCTGCTTGGAACCAAACACATGAACCCTCGAGTGATATTTCAAACTCAAACCATAGCATCCAATAAAAATCCTCTCACACACACAATTCTACATTCACAACTTCAAAGCTGCTAGCAGATTATAGTCCACCCTCACAGACTACTCCAGCCAAGACTACATATAAGCTCTACATTTTCCCATCACACGGAGACTAAACAAAAAATAATACAGCTAGCTCTCCCAAGACTTGATCATTACACCAATTTTCTCAGGGTACCCTAGAGATACCATCACCCCCAAATATCAGGGAGGAGTCTAGAAAATACAATGGCCACATTCCCGAGAGGAGGTAGGTAATTTTTGGTCATGGATGTTTATTATCATTTGGGGCGTGGGGTTGCAACTTGTTGTTGGTCATGGTCAGGAACGAAGCTGAGCAAAGATGATTAGATTCAGGGATCTCTTTCTGAAGAAAAAAGGGGGAATTTGGTATAAAAAAGATGAATTGTTGAGTCTACTTTTGAACTAAAAACAAGACTCAAATATTTTATGTTGATATGGATTTTTGTATATTGATACAAATTTAAGCTTATTTTTGTTATACTGTATGTATGTTTCTACTCTTATTTAAGGTATTGTAGCTATGCAGCTCATTTACAAATGTAAAGTTTTAGTTCTTGAAAGCTATTTAGAATAATAAAGGCAAGTTAGTAGTCTGTCATCTGTAACAATCAAAATTATAATTATCTTAGGTATGTTTTCTATGTCAAACAGATATATTTTAAATAGAAAGATGGTCTTCAAACACATCATAGACCTACCAAACACGGAATTTAAAATGTTTTAATAGCATAAGGCTTTTCATGATAATGAGACACGTCTGCTTCTGGCAGCACCAATTTACTTCAAAACAGAATGTTGGGAATCAAAGAACCAACACATAGAATTTGCTTTTATTTGTGGCAAAGTTAGCCACTGGGCAAGAAACTGCCCTTGTCTCAACTACTGACAGTATGCATCCAAACTGGACAAGGAGAAGACAAAAGAAAGTGATTGCCAAACATTACCAAGACACAGTCCTTCAGAATAACCTGATTCACAGAAAAGTCTGTCAGACATGCTAGGCCTGTAGGGTGAAAATGGATGCCCCAACACTGCAGAGGAACCTTGGGTGACTGCCCAGACAGCCAGCTGTCTCTGCCATTTCTATAGTTTTGGAAGTTGTCTGCTCTGCACTTCTGTTTACTTGGGTAATATATATCCTTCTCAGGTCTCTGATGGGGCTTAAGGACCAGATAATTATATCATTTTTTCATTACCAAATTCAAAAAAGAAACCTACAAACAAGATGTAATGGTTATAAGGTTGAAAAACACAAAAGTTTAAGTTGTTTACCTAAGATGATGTTTTAAGGCCTCAAAAAATATTTCTGCGATAGTAATAAAAGATAGAAAATGGTTTAGGTATAAAACTTTGGACTCAACTAAGATAGGATAGATAGTACTTTCTCCAAATTTTTGAAATACATATGGACTGGACATTGTGAATGTAATTCTTACCTGAAAATTGTCCCTATTGTATAAATTTTTACTATGTAAAAGTTAAAACCTTTCCTTTTTATTTAGACAATACCTAATAACTGTTCTTATTATAAAGTTGTACTGTGTTAGTTAAACCCTTTCTATTTAGACAAAAAGGGAGAAATGTTGCAGAAAATTTGTGTACACTGTAAAGATTTCTCTGCTTAAGGCACCTTCTGACTGGTTTAATAAAGAGCTCAATGGCCAATAGCTAGACAGGTAGAGAGAGGAAGAGGAGGAGGAACCTAAGAGGGTGGATTTCAGAGACTCTGAAGAAGTTGGACATATGGAACAAAACAGAGGTAAATGTAAATTAACAGAGACAGGCTAATTTAAATTACAAGAGCTAGCTGGAAAAAAAGCCTAAGATAAGGCCGAGTTTATAATTAATATTAAATGTCCATGTTATTATTAAGGAGGTGTTGGCCTCACAAAAAAAAAAAAAAAAAAAAAAAAAAAAAAAGCCTTAGGGAACCCCTCACCTACCCATCTATCCTCCCACCTAAAGTCAGGCTGAAAATCTGAGCAGAATGAGAACTCAGACAAAATGGCATGCACCAGCATCAAGTCTAACTCTGAAGAATGCTACCTCAGGGTCCTCCTTTACCTCACAGACTCCAACAGAGTATAGAAAACTACTTCCTGAGCCGAGGACTGGCTCAGTGAGGAAAGTTTGCTGTGCAAGCATGAGTCAAATCCTCAATGCCCATGTAAAAATAAAAATTAAAAAATAAAAAATAAAAACGTGAAAGTGGTTGTACATTCATGGTACCCCACATGGATAGATGGAGGCAGGAGGGTCCTAGGGTTTGCTAGTCAAACAATGAGCTCAAGTTCTTCAGGTGGAGAACAACTAAGGAAGAGGGTTGATGTCAACCTCTGGCTTCCACACATGTATTCATGGATACAAACACACACACAGAGCAGGAGGAAAGAAGGGAGGGACGGGGAACTAGGCCTGGAATGTAAAAAATAAATTAATTTTTAAAAAGTATAAAACACACACACACACACACACTCTACCTTTCCCCCAAGCAACTTGAAGCCTAGGAGGTATTTCTGATTAAAACCAAGAAAACTTCCAAAGCCAGGTATGCTATCCCACACCTATAATCCAAGCAAATGGGAGTCAGAGGCAAGAGAACACCTGCAAGTTCCAGGACAGCCTGAGCTATACAATAAGACCCTATTTAAAATAACAGCAACAATAATGACATATCCCCAAACTAACAAAACAAAGAAACAAATTTAAAAGGAGCTTTCTACCCTACCTCTAAAGAGGGATTTTTCAAGAGCAGCCTGAGACAAAACAGCCACACAGGGATGCCAAAGAAAACATCAGCTCCAAGGAACTGGAGTTTTCCCTGACAGAGACTCCACATTTAAAGATAGAAGGCAGTGCAGGCTCCTTACCATCTGCTCATATCTACACCTAAAGCTTAGGAACCCAAAGAAACTTCTCTGGACTCAGAGAGCAAATGCATCCTAAACAATCTGCTGACACCTGTATCTCAATACAGGACTTAACAGGCTCAGAAGTCAAGGAATCTCACATGAAGAGTTTGGTCTCCCAGTGAGAGACTTTTGTCCACTAGTGCTTCCCTGCTCCCACTCCCTACCTGTGAGCAATACCAAGCAAGGTTCTCAGACAGCTAAGCAATCTCTAGGTCAGAATTTGTCACGTTCTTTAAAAAAAAAAACACAAACTGAAACTAAATAAACATAACCCACCCACACAACCTTGAGAACACCAAAAGTCCCAGGAAAGAAAGTAGGAAGGAGTTAGTCTATAAGCCCTAGGTTTGGTTCCTGACACTCCCACATAGTGGATCATAACTGCCTGTAACTCCAGAGGATCCAATGCCCTCCTCTGACATTTAAGAGCTTATGCATGCACACGGTACACATACATACACTCAAATAAACACACATAAAATAAGCCACACTTTAAAATTCTGGTACAAAGCTAAGTGATCAGCAGCCCAGATGTTACAAAGCTAAAGCACTAAGTACGTCTCAGGTGACATCAGAAGCACACAGACCATTTTCTGAAATCTTCTAATGGTGATGTTTACATTTACTTTACTCAAACTGCTTCATAAAAGTTGTACCATGTATGTGATAATTACTTTCTCTATTGCTATATTCTTCATGAGAAATGACTCATGTAAGGGATGGATTGCTTAATTAGTGAACTGTTTATGCAGCAAAGGACTGAGTGCAGATCGCCAGCATCCACATAAAAACCAGCAAACCAGCCCTGGCAGTACACATTTGTAATCCTCATGCTGGGAAGTTAATTAGAGTATGTGAGTGTCTGAATGTGGGTATGTCCACATGCAGGTTTTTGATGAGGTCAGAGGTGTTGGATCACTATGCAACTGGAATTGTAAGTGGCTGTAAGCCATTGGATGTGGCTGTTGGGAACTAAATTCAGATTATCTGAAAAGCAGTACATTCTCTTAACTACTGAACCATCTCTCCAGCTCCAACTCCTTTTAATGAATGAACTACTACTGCCATGAAAAAAAAAAAAAAATGTTTTTGAAACAGTCTCACTATTTAAAGCAGACTGGCCTTGATTTCAGAGATCCACCTGTAAAGTTGTGTTATGTGGGACAATGCTCTTGTTCACTACTATAAAGATCTGTCACTCTTACTGGCTTAATAAAACACTGAATGGCCAGTAGCTAGGCTGGCCATATGGCGGGGCTACCAAACTAGGAGAATGCTTGGAAGAGGGAGGCAAAGAGTCAGGTGCCAGCCAGATGCTGAGGAAGCAAGATGAGAATACCTTACTGAGACAAGGTAACAAGCCAAGTGGCTAAACACAGTTAAGAATTATGGGTTAATTTAAATTGTAAGAGCTTGCTAGTAATAAGCCAAGCAATAGGCCAAACAGATTATAATTAATATAAGCCTCTGTATGTTTATTTGGGACTGAAGAGCTACAGCATGGGGTGGGACAGAAACCCTGTCAACAGTTGGTTCTCCATGGCCAGCTGAGAAAAAGTTTAGTTTGAGCCCAGGCCTTTTCATATGTTAAATGGGTAAAAACATTAAGGTCCTCAAACACAACATATCAAGCAACTGTGAAATGTAATAAAAATGCTAAAGGAGGGCTGATGAGATGGCTCCATGCCTACTGCTAAACCTGATAGCCTGACTTCAATCCCTGGGTCACACAGTGTAACAATTCCTGACAACTGTCCTCTGACCTCCACTTATACATCCTGTATCATATGCACACTTCACAGACACACAAATAAACAGATGTAATTTTGAAAGAAAAAAAAATGGAAACTACTACAGATCAGCTACCCTAAGGAAATGCTGTTAATTTTGTTTGCTTTTTGAAAACATGCAAACAAAATATGCTAATCTCAGTGGAAACAGATGTGCTTCTACAGAGCTACCTTTGCAGTAATTGTGTTTATTAAGACCATATTGCCTAATCAATTCTACAGCCTTGGCTATGACAACTCCAAAAGTCTTATCTGTTGATTGAAGGTCCATTTGCTAACAGACTTTAACTGATGTTACTGTATACACAGTATATGCTGACTTCACTTTTGTCCTCAAAATGCTCATATTTACCTTCAAGACAGTTGGTGTTATTTATGAGAAAATGGCAATGAATTCAGAAAAACAAAAGCACTTTCTAAAGAAAGCATGACAATCATAAGCTTGAAGACAACATCAGGTTCCAATAAGGTAAGGAAAAATTAACCATCATATAAAATGGTCTAAATTAAGGCATATAAATACCCTTTTATCTACCAAGAAGTTAAGGGGAACATAAATTTACCAATAAATCTAACTTAGTTTGAGAGTAATTAGTATCAGATTACTCTCTAAAAATCATGGTTTACTATTTATATAACTGTATAGAACTTATAGATCTATTTCCTTGAGATTATTAAGTCCATAAAATATTGTAAAACTGTTACTCTGAAAAAATCAGATTTGTCTTTCCATAAAAGTGTATCAAAGAAGCAAGTATTAGTGGCACACACCGATAATCCCAGTCCTCAGGAGGCAGAGGCAGGGAGATCTCCAAATTCCAGGTCAGCCTGGTCTACAGATTCTGTCTCCTCACCCCTCAAATCAGGGAAGAAAAGAAAAAGAACAAAATAAAATCACCATGGTGGCACGGATTACATGATCACAAGCTCACTTTAAGGGAACTTTTTGAACATGATTTAGTAGGTGGACTTGGGTTAAAACTCATCTCTATTTACTAGCAGTTTGACTTCAAAAGTTCTTTTTGATACATTTTATACATAAATAAAATTCTCAAATAGTTAAAAGGGAGAGAAAAGTTCTTTCTCTAGGAGCCAGTGTCATCATCGATAAAATAGAAATAACTTCCTTGCACCCAGCCCAGAAAATAGAGACCCCTGTGACTTGAGCAATGTCTCCTTTGGTTTCTTTCTTGTTTTCTGTATTCCAGGCTGGCCTCAAACTTGTCATGCACCCTTAAACTTCTGATCCTCCCGCCTCCACCTCCCAAGTGCTAGGATTATAAGCATATGCCACTTCTCTCGGTCTGTGCAGTGCTGCAATTGAACCCAAGGCCTTGCTAGGTAAGCACTCTACCAATTATGCTATATCCCAGCATTCCTTCATCTTCAGTGGGGGAGATAACAGTTGCTCAAGAACGATTTATAAGCAGTACTATATAATTTGCTCAATATCATGTTATATACAAACTGGAAAAGTGATTTAGGACATTGTGAAAATATTTATGAAAGACTTTTTGTGGTATTAGCAAGACCTTTTGATAATGCCTTGCTAAGTAAGGCAGACTGGCCTTGAACTCTGTGTCCTATTGCAGACGTGGACCACACTAATTTACACTATTACGTAGGCATGTAGGTACAGAGAGTCCCTATCTTCTAAGCCACCAGTGAGCACGGTATGAAAGCCATTGCCTGAGACATACTGTACCTTTTGTTCTGATTTCTCTTCCCTTGAATGGCTAAAACGTGTAAGCTAACACAAACCTGTCACAGTCCGCTGGCCATCAGTTAGGCTATTCCACCACTTGTTAATCTAAAACAGAAGGAAAATTGCATATAACTCTATTTGAAACACTTCAGACTAAGGGGAAAGGCAGGTGTTTTTTCTGAGGTCTGAAACTATTTAATGAAAAAGAATTACTTATCAAATAAAACATTTTTCTTGTATTACTTAATCTTCAGAATTCTTTTTTTAAAAATGTGGTTGTGACCAAGAAACCTATCAACCCATATTTACTGACCACCATGATGTCTTTGGTCATAACATTTTTCTCAGTTTTAATTTGGAGGACCTGAAACAACATTTATTTCATGTCTCCTAAGCATCATGGTCCTTTATACTTTTTAGAGAAATAGTTTACTGTCCTTGATAAGTAACTAATTTCATCCAATTCCAGTATCTCCCTTGTTGTTCCCACACAATTTCATTTTAACACTCCTCCCACTGAAAAATTCTCTTCACAATTCCCTAATTGTAGGTATAAATATAAATAATTAACTATAGGAGAAAAAAGAGCTAAATTCTGAAAAAAGGCCCAAAATAATGTATGCAGTACAGAAAACATACTGTTAAACATGAAACTGAGAATTTAATGATAGAATAAGAATGCGCTGTGAGGCTCAGACTACAGAAAGTTAATTAAAGATTCAAATCAAAGCCAGATGGTGGTGGCACACACTTTTAATCCCAGCACTTGGGAGGCAGAAGCAAGCAGATCTCTGTGAGTTCAAAGCCAGCCTGATCTATAGAGTGAGTTCTAGAACAGCCAGAGCTACACAGAAACACTATCTTGAGAAAAAAAAAATTCAAATCAAGGTTATACTGTTTGCTGTCTCAAGAGCAAAGCTGCTTCTGTGCTGTGCTCATGGGGAAAAGAAGTTTAAGTCTGCATTGATGTCTGTGGCCTCTTGAAAGCATGTTTTAAACTCAGATAACCTCCACAGGACCACTGCTAAGGCATTTGCTTTTAAACCAGATTCTCCTGTAATAAGACGATAAAGTTTATCTAGCAGTATCTTCATGAGGCCTACCAAGAGGCCAAGAGGCACACTACAAGATGAAGTGGGGAGGTACTATCGAGTTTAAAATTGCTGAGACTTGGCTGTAGTGGCAAAAGGCTTTAATCCCAGCACGTGAGAAGCAGAGGCAGGCAGATCTCTGAGACTTTCAGGTCAGCCTGGTCTACAATAGTGAGTTCCAGTGCCCTATCTAAACAAAACAAAATTAAATTAAAAAAAAATTTTTTTTTTTTTTTTAACTAAGGGAGCTGGAGAAATGGCTCACAGGCTCATAGCACTTTCTTCAAAATTATGAGGACTGAAGTTCATATGCAAGCACTTTTATAAAAAAGTTCTAAGAGATCCAGTAACCATTCTGGTGGCATGCACATGGTGCACATACAGACAGGCAGGAAAGGCATTCATACACATAAAATAAATCTTCAAAAAACGAAATCCAAACTATACCTTTTACGAAAATTGCCACTTTTTTTTTTTTTTTTTTTTTTTTTTGAAAGAGTCAATATCACTGCTGAGGCCTGACTGCCTCTGCCACCATAACTGGGACCACACTTTTAATGTAGAATACCTCTCACTGCAGTAGATAAGAAAAACCTTACGTTTTCAGAATATACTTTGAAATATTTAGGGACTTGCCAGGCGTTGGCGGTGCACGACTTTAATCCCAGCACTCGGGAGGGAGAGGCAGGTGGATCTCTGTGAGTTCAAGGCCAGCCTGGTCTACAGAGTGAGTTCCAGGACAGGCTCCAAGTCAATACAGAGAAACCCTGTCTCAGGGAAAAAAAAAAAAAAAAAAGAATATTTAGGGACTAAACAATAATCTAGTAAGGAATAATCTAGTAAGGAAAGGGAACGATATGAAAAATAAAACTGGCCATGTGCTGGGAACCACTGTTTGGACAGTAACAGGCTTCATTATACTATTCTACTTCTCAATCTCTCAATCTGAAATGTTTCCATATTTAACATGTTTAAGTGAAAACTATTCTTGGGCTGTGAAGTCCTGGCATGCACAGTCCTGGCCTCCATCCCTAGCACACAGAAAACAGTGCTAGTACACACACCTACCAGTTCAGATCTTGGGAAGTGGAGGCTGGAGGATTAGAAATTCAAGGTCACTCTTGGCCACATAACAAATTCAAGACTAGTTTGAGTTCATATTTGAGATCTTGTCTCAAAAAACAATGCTAATTATGAACTTATGAACCAGACTTTCATGTGGAAAAATGTTAAGACTAAAAAGGAATGACACACCTGTATGCAATGTGATCCCACTGCTATAACTGTAACTGTGACGGTGTGAGTCCCCAGAGATGCATGTAGTGGTACAAATAAGTGTCTAAGAATCAGCTTTCTAACCAAGAACTCACTTTGTTGTTGAGGCTTTCCTCAAATTCCCGGACTTGGATATCTCCAGGTAGCAGGGACAAAGGCCCATGCTACCATGCCAGGCTAGGCCTTCATCTTCCACACTGTACTCAAACTGTTTCAATTTTCTTTAATAAACATGGCTTTTAAATACCGTAACCTACTATTTGTTTAACTATTATTAAAAAAGAAAGCTATTTTGGATTCAGGTTTTATACACACATTACCTATCATTTTCAACATTTTAAAGACTTACAGAGATGGTCAGCAGTTGAGCAGTGTGCTACCCATGGCCTCAGTACCCAGCATGTATTAACCAGTAAAAATAATGTATCTAGAAACTTTGTAAGTTAGGACACTTTCTAGGGCCAGGCCTCAGTAGATAAGACACTTGCTGTACAAGCCAGCTAACTTGAGTTTGAACCCTAGAACCCATTATAAAAAGCTGGGCATGGTACAAATGCCTTTATCCACAGCGTCTGGGAGGCAGAGGTGGGTGGATCTCTGAGTTCCAGGCCAGCCAGGACTACAGAATGAGATCCTGTATTTTAAAAAAAGTTCTGTGACCACCATTTGAATACCATGGCACTCACCCACTACCTTTCTCCAACACATAATAATAAAAGTTTAAAAATAAATAAAAAAGAATACTTTCTAACTAACTAGACTTTTAAATGTGTGGTTAGCTAGGCTAAAGAAAGCAATGTTTATTCTCACCTCCTTTCTGAGGTCTCCTTCCTTTTGTGGCCGTATGCTATCCAACCAGTCAGCTTTTATGCCATCAAAATAACTCTGGACTCTAGATTTCAGTGATTCATATTGCCAGATAGCAGCTGATCCAAATGCACAGCCTGTGAACTAGAGAAAATATTTAAGTCATCTGAAAAGGAAATACATTTCCCAGATAATATTCCACCTAGCACAGTAACACCTACCGTGTGGCTTTATCGAGCATCCAGAGGCCTATTTCTAACAACTCTCCAGATAAAATAAAAATACCAACTTAGTGCCTCTTGAAATGCTACATGAAATAGGAAGCTCATACATGTCTTCTTCAAAGCTCACGTAATAGGGCCAAATTCTGAAATCTGAATTCACTTGGCCAGCTTCCCAGTCCCACTGAGCCCCACCCCTCTGTTTTTACCAGAACCCGCCCAGGGCAGCTCTTGAACACTGAGCTGGCAGAAAGCTTGGAAAATACCAGTGGCATGAGCCCTTACCCCAATGGTGAAGAAAAAGGGCTTCACGAGAGTTCGTATAGGGTAAGGGGAAGGGTAAAAGACAGTCTCTTCCAGAGGAGGGATCAAGGCACTTCTCTTGTATGCTTCACCACTTGACCCTGTGTCTGATCTTCGAGGTTCAACCTTCCTTGGTGCTTTTCTAAATCCGCACTTTTGCTGAAGAAATGAGTTAAACCTGTGGAGAGTGGGTGGTATCTCATTAAACACAGTACATCTTACAAATCAGCATCCTAGGAACCTCCACTTGGCCTGAGCCATCATCATCTCACTTTATTTTCATACCAATCCAACAAGAGGCAAGACTTCTAATCTCAAGTAGATGTCTTTTTTTTCCAACATAATATTTTTACTGACTATTTTGAGTTTCACATAATGTACCCTGATCACATTCACTTCCCCATTTTCACATGTCCAACCCCTGTCCCTTGTCACCTACCCCCTAAAAAGGTGGGGAATACCAAGTCCAATATGTGTTGGCCATATACCCACTGGAGCATGGTCAAACTTCCAGTAGCCAGCCCCTTAAAGAAAGAATCCTTCCCCAACCCCTCCTGCTAGAAGTAGGAATCCTTAATTCTCCTGGGAGAAATAAAACAGAAACTATAATAGTTCAGAGAATGCTCCACTGGACTATTACTTTGTATCAATCAGAAAAATAATTTCTCTAGTCTCCATATTGGTTCTGTTATCTGAGAAAAAAAGCTATAGAAGTTGTATACTGTTTCTTTTTGTTTCTATTTTATTTATTGTGTGCTTGCTCATCCCCAACACCCCAGGATTGCAGGTGTCTTCTACCTAGTAGAGTCATAAACTGTCAGCTTCAATAAACATAACTTTGTTTTGTTTGAATTTTGATCAGTTTCCAAAACAAAAACTTAGTGTGTTATCCTTGGAACTGTAACTATTTGATGAGTATTGATTATTATGAAGTGGGGGTTCCTCTCACCTCTTCCCTTATCTCACTGTTTAAGGACACCAACCAAACACATTCAAAAAGGATCTTCTTGAGTCCTTACTGCTTGGCCTTCTCAAAACATCTGACACTAGTAACCACAGTCCCCAGTCCAGCTTTTGGTGTGTCTATGTGCTCTACTCTTCAAATTGATCTTTCACACTGATGGTCCTATTCCCAAACTCCTTAGTAGACATGCACTCAAAAGCTCTAAGTTCCTTTATCTATGCAAACTCAATCCATGCAAGTTCTTAAAGTACATTTTTCTTTTGCTATTATTCTCATCACACCCTCAACAGGAAGCTAAGGAAGAATAATGAATTCCTGAGTAGCCCAGGCTACACTAAAGGTCCTGGTTCAAAAAGGGGAGGAGGTGCTGAGATGTAAGTCAGTAGACCACTTGACTAACTCACATGCAGGCCTGGGCTTAATCCCCAGCACAGCACAACCCAGGGATGGTAAAACATCTGCAATCCCAGCACTCAAGAGATGGAGAGAGGAAGGATTGCTACATACGCAGTTTGAGGTCACTGAGCTGTGTAAGACTTGTCTCAAAATAAAAATACAAAGCTTTTTATTCCTAGTCTAGTCCCCTCCTCCATGTCTGGATTACATTTAACAATTTGATTTCATGCTATCTACTTATTCAACCAATTCGAAGGCTGCCCTAAATAGCTCTTAAACACCCTTCAATGCTTTGAACTCCCTTCTGTGACAGTTATCAGTCTGATAAGCAAACAGCATTGAGCAGTCCAACCCATCCCTTCATTTTTCCAGCTTTCAGAATGCAATGTGTGTCACATCAGCCAGAATTTTGGCTAAATGAAACATCAATAGTTTCTGTCTGTTCATCTTCTGTCTGTCTGCCTCTTTCTATCGCCCCTCCCCACATATACACCTCCTTCCAGCTTTCATAAGGATGTAATATCTAAAGCTAGAACAGCTATCTTTAAAGCCAAGAGAAAGGTCAAGGGATTTACACTAATACCTTAACATTTTGGAACTACAGAGCCAAGACTGCAGATACTTCCTTCTCTCAAAACATCTTAGGTAAGAACTATCATTTATCTAAATCACAATCAGTTTTATAGTCAAATACATCCCTAAGAGATGATTTTTTTAAAAAGCTTTATTCTTGTTTTAAATTTAATTATGTGATGAGTGTTTTGTTTGCCTGTACGTCTGTACAACTCATGCTTGTCTGGTACCTGTGGAAGCCAGAAGAGGGTAACAGATTTCTAGGACTGACATTACAGGCAATTTATGAACCGCCATGTGAGTGCTGGAAATTGAACCTGGGTCCTCTAGGAGACTATCCAGTGCTCATAACCATTGAGCCATCTCTCTAGTCCCAAAAGCATTATTACATATAGATATTCTGTCTATACGTATGTTTGTGCATTCATCCCAGGTACCAGCAGAGACCTAGAGGGTGTTGTATCCCCTGGAACTAGAGTTACAGACAGTTGTGAACAACTATGTGGGTGTGGGACTCAAACCCAGGTCCTCTGCAAGAGCAATGAGCGTTCTTCATTGCTGAGCTATCTCTCCAACACCCAATGACGTTAAAGAGCAAAAGTAAATCTAATAAATAAAGTGATAAGTAATCAAAATAAGCAATGTCACTTTGGACCAAACCAAAGAGTCATTACTAGAACGCATCCACTATACAGACCTAAAGTTGTAGCCCAGTACTACTGGTTTCTCTTACCAGAACAGGAATTAGAAAGGATAGGAACTCAACTCAAGTTTAAACTTATCAACCATTCTTTATCCTTTTAAGATAGAGACTCATTATGGCTTAAGGTGGTGACCCTGAGTACTGGATTATAGACTTGTACCATGTCCAGAAAAAAAAACCAGGCAATTCTAACAAAAGGTTACCTACCTCTGCATCACAATCAAAATTCTAAAGTTTGAAAAGTTAAAGAAAAGACATTTAGTTTTACTCATTTAGATGAGTATGTAAGGTGGAAATTTGTCCAGGAAAACTGGAAACAAATAAGCTTTTTAAATTTTGCCTATGTGTATGAGTGTTTTACCTATGTGTGTGCCTGTGTACCATGTGCATGTCTGGTGCCTGAAGAACCCAGGTGTCAGATCCCCCTGAAACTAAAGTTATAGACAGTTGTGAGCTGTCATGTGCATGTTGGGAATGGAACCAGGGTTCTCTAAAAGAGCAGCCAGTACTCTTAACCTACTCTATCACTTAAGCCCCAAGGTCATAACTTTAATAGAAAACTTATATCCATGTATTGTTGATTAGATGATGACATTATAAGTAATGTTAATATAAACCATTTTCACACATGTAAGTATAAATACAACTTATACATAAAGGTTGGCACTGTTAGGTTTATTAACAAAGTTGAGAAGAAAAAGCCTGGTACTCAAATGAAGAGATGTGGTTGATAAGAATCATTCCATTTAAAAACAAGGTTGTTTTTTTGTTTGTTTGTTTGTTTTTGATAGGCAAATTCTACATACCCTCTCTATTTTGTGTTTTGTTTTGTTTGTTTGTTTTCTGAGACAGAGTCTTGCTATATACCTTTGGCTAGGCAGGAACTTGATATATATATATATATATATATAGCCTTGAATTTGCAGGATCCTCTTCGTGAGTGCTGGAATCCATGTCGTGAGCCACCACACCTGGCTCTATATCAACTACCAAAGGCCAAAATTATTTTCTTGAAACACATCTTGAATTAACAGAGCATGAAAAGAACAGGCCTGATTTACTACTTTGTAATTGCTTCTAAAGTCTGTCATTTAACCCACAGAGGTGCTCCAATCAACCATTTGCTTCCTTTGGATTTCATCCAACTGGAAAATTATGCAGGTTTCTACTTTCAAACTTAAGTGCCTAAATGATTTTTTGTTTCCTGTGAAAGAGCAAATAATAAGTAATTTAGTACTTGTGGGCTCCTGTAACCTATCATATAATATAAATAATATAAATCCTACGACAACACAGAAAGTGTTTGTAAAATGTAAATTCTTTAGCCCTCTTTAAAACCACATAGACTGGGCCATTCTGCATGTTAATTTCAGAACCACGGGAACTCAAAACAGACTAATGATCACAAAGAACTACTTCCTAGTAAATCTGGACTTCAGCAGACGGGCAAAGCCAGTACTTCAGGCCACTGACATTCTATTCAGTGCATTTTCCCATGCAACCAGAAGAATGTCACTTTCAGTGTGTCCTGTCCATATAAATCCTTAACACCACATGAATGGGAGTGGGGGAGGGGGAGGTTATGAGACAGGGTCAAGTAATCCATGCTGGCCTTACAGTCAGATCCTACAATCTCCACCTCCCAGGTCCTGGGATTACCGGCCTGAACCACCATCGAAGACAGTACTGTTTTGAGAAGTTCTCTGTGTGTGGCCTTACTGGAGAGTGTGTATAATAGACAAGCACTCTTTATCAATGAACTCTACTTTACTAGTGGTTCCTGGAGAATGAAGGGAGTCAGCTCTCCTTGCCGCCTTTTCCCAAAACCATTACAGCAAATCACCAGGATCACCTGTTACATTTTTTTTTTTCTTTTATTAATGGCATGGTCTTATGTTGCCCAGGTTGGCCTTCAACTACTGATCACCTTTACAAGGATGTCAGACCACAACAGGCTGTTTAAGATTAATTCCTGAAGAACCATGACACCCTGGGTCATGGAAATTTCACTGTGCGCTATATTGTATGCAACTTTTCCCGGAAATGCTGATAAACTCTCCTGGGGAAGCTTACAAAAACAAAAAACAAAACAAAAAACAAACAAGCAAAAAAAATCCAAACTGATTCCTCCAGCTTTATCATCTTCCTGATTCTGATTTTCTGATTCTGGGTGGTACCTGGGATGTGACAAGCTCTACAAACAGCCCAGGTGACTTTTACTTATTTATTTTTAATAAATCTTCCCAAGGCTCCCAACTCACATCCTCCTGCTCCAGACTACTGGGAGCTGATGTTACAGGCCTGTGCCCACCTCTGGTGAATTAAGAACATCCACGCTGAATGAATCTTAATTATTTACCACTGGCTAGCCCACACAGTATAAGACTTCAGGCTCTTTGGTGTAATCGTCCCATCAAATTAGGCAGAAATAACAAAGTTGACATCTTTGGTTGAAATTTCAAAGTTAATGAGTTCTTCTACGTCTTAACAATTTCTCTTTTATTACACTTAATGCAAAACTGGTGGACCTGAAAGGTCATGTGCTTCCCTCAGCAGTAATGGGATGACTTTCTTTCCCAAGCCATCAATCAATCAATCAATCAATCAATCAATCAATCCCTGAGTCTCAACACTTTAAGGAAAAGGCCTCTGTAGGGCAGGCCTGTATTCCCCCCGACTCCGTGCTTTCTATGTGGAACAAGTCTGTCAGGCACAGGAAATGAAATCAGACTTCAGCTACCCTGCCAGCTCTACAACTGCTTCACTGAAAAGCCGGGTCAGTATTTTTTCTCTCGAGGACATGAGCCGACACGCAATCGGCCCTCAGAAGTTAGCCCCTTTCCACCACGTCGCTCACAAGGAGTAGGAAGGACTTGGAGAACTGGGCAGGGCTCGGCCAGCCTGGGTGCGCGGCCAGGGCCGGGGCGACACCCTCGGAAGCGAGAAGGGAACGAAGCACCAAGGCAAAGCGTGGCGGAGAGGAGGCACCTTTGGGAAGAACTCGTGCATAATGGAGAGCCGGAACCCAGACGGCCGCCGCAGCCTCCCCCAGGATGCGCGCGACCCAGCTCCAGGGAAAACCGCGAAGCAGGAAGCGGCAGCCATTACCTGCGTCCGAGCAGCCGCGGGGCCTGGGCCGCAGAGAGCTCCGGGCAGCCGCCGACTGCGGGAGGCGCCCACGCCTGACCGCAGCCCCAGCCTCGCTGTGCCCAACCTCGCAACGCCATCTTCCCAAACTCTGCCCCACCATTGCCCGACCTTATCAACCCCAGTCTCGGAACCACTTCCGGGTCGAAGGAAGAACGCCGAGCGCGGGGCAGCAGCCTAGAGCGCCACCTGGAGGCGGAACCGGTTCCGGCCGGTCTCCTCTCCTCTAGCAGCAGCACAGAAGCCCTGGTGAGTGGCTGGGGACATTTGCTTACCGCTGTGTATCAGAACCCCTCAGGTTATCACATTTAATCACAAGACACTTTCACAGTGCTCCCGAGGCTCCGAGAGGAAATGACTTGCCCGAATAGAGCTTGTCACTTGTCCTGCGTCTTACCACTTAATGTTATCAGAAAGATACCATCATAATAAGAACCTTTAACGAGAAGTGAAATTCTAGCCTGTCAGTCAGCTGTTTTAGGCCACTGCATCCCCAATGCCTTAGTTGCAGCCATACCCAGCCATTGGTAGTTCTTCAACAGTACTGATACCGGAATTGTTCGGGTCTGAGCCTGTACACTGGCAACCTTAACAAGCCAGGTTGGGCCACCTGTCTCCACTACACCGACTCAACACTCAGACATAGTAAAAAGCAGGAAAAAATTTATTTATTCAATGGTGCCACACTGGGAAGAACAGAGGTCCAGTGACTGTGCAAGTTCATCTTCCAGATCTAATATGGGGATAAGGCTTAAATAGCAAGGGGTGTACAATAAGGGAACTGTTTTTCTCGCCCCTCACCACTATCTCAGCTCCATTCTGCTGTCCCCAGAGATTCAGCCTTTTGTTTTTTTTCCCCTCCAATATGAGATTTCTGGGGCGGTTCAGTTTTCTTAGGGTCCAGTATTTTCAATAGTCTGAGAGCCAAAGAGCAAGACATAAATAGTTCTATCCTTACTTCTGCTGGTTTAGATCGAGCCAGGATAGAAAAACCATGAGAAAATTAAGCATGCTAGGGAAAGGAAAAGAGATTCCCATACATGAGTCAGCTTGATCCTTAGCCAGCTAAGAGTCAAGCATCCCAACACAATTAAAATTTATTGTGAAGATGATGTTCCTATGCAATAAGGATGTTTCAAATGAGAACGTTACAATAGCAGTGAATCATGCTTAATGCCTTTTCCCTTTCTACCTAAACATCTGCAGTTTTCTAGGACTCTCACAATAAACCCCATTTATAGTTTTAAAAAAAAGCATTCCTTAACTCCCTCTGCAACCTTAGGACCACGGTTTACATTGTTAGATTGTAATCTATAAGAAGCACGTCCAAAACTGCTCTATCGTCTCATTTATCTGAAGAGGTAAAAGGATGACAATAGAGGGGTGTCTCTCAGAAACTCTTTTATTATTGGTGGTAAAGATCTGGGCTGGGTGTTTCCAGGCTTAAAAAGAAAAAAAGGGGCCTATGTAGAATGAAAACATGAAAAAAAATTCTTATTCAAACACACTACAGAACTTCTCACACGAGTAAAGACACCTAAGGGACCCCATTCATTGTTTCAGCTTCTATTGGTGGGGTTCAGAAAAGGAGAAGTTTGGTTGCTCATAGACACAGGTTGCAAGAGAGACCTTGGCAAGAGAGTCCAAACCACAGGAGGCAAGGGACAAACACATCATGCAGACAGAGTTTATATGGGAAGTTTTATTGGGGGAAGGATGGGGGTGGGCAAAGACCTGCCTACATGATCAGAGATGTTGTTCTTTTGCAGCAGCTAATGCCTATAAAACACAAACACGAGACTCAGTGCCCACGTGGAGTTTATTGAGAGAGGGGAGAGAAAGGGGGTAGCTGGTGACCAACTGAAAGCAGGAGAGAGTGGGGTATGGTGCACTTGCTTTAAAAGGGAGGACTTGCGTAACTGAGTCCTCTGTCAAGCTAGGTAAAGCTTGAGCCGCCAGGTAAGGCTCTTAACACTGCTTGAAAACTGAAATAGAGACAATAAAGAAAACGCAAACCGAAGGAATGTTGGAAATAGAAAAACTGGGCAAATGATCGGGAACTACAGATGCAAGCATAACCAACAGAATACAAGAGATGGAAGAGAGAATCTCAGGCATGGGAGATAAACTAGAGGAAGTAGATTCATCGACCAAAGAAAATTGTAAATCCAACAAATCATTAACACAAAACATCCAGGAAGTGTGGGACACAGTGAAAAGGCCAAATCTAAGAATAATAGGCATAGAGGAAGGTATGGAAGCCCAGCTCAAAGGTGCCGAAAACATATTCAACAAAATCATTGAGGAAAACTTTCCCAATCTGAAGAAGGACATGCCCATGAAAGTACAAGAAGCATACTGAACACCAAATAGACTGGACCAAAGAAAAAAGACCCCTTGACATATAATAATCAAAACACCTAACATACAGAATAGAAGAAGAATATTAAGAGCAGCGAAGGAAAAAGGACAGGTAACATATAAAGGCAGACCTATCAAAATTACACCTGACTTCTCCATGGAAACCCTCAAGGCCAGAAGGTCCTGGATAGATGTTCTGCAAGTACTAAGAGTCCACGGATGCCAGGCTACTATACCCAGCAAAGCTCTCAATCACTATAAATGGAGAAAACAAGATATTTAATGACAAAGCCAGATTCTCACAATATGTTATCTACAAATCCAGCCCTATAGAAAGTTTTGGAAGGAAAACTCCAACCCAAGGAAGTTAACTACGCTCACAAAGACGTAGGCAACAGATAATACCACTACACCAGAAACCAAGGGTAAAGCAGGACAAATATATTCACAATACCACCGCCAACAACAAATCTAAAACAAGCAAGCATTAACAATCGATGGTCCTTACTCTCCCTCAGCATTAATGGTCTTAACTCACCTATAAAAAGACACAGGTGGGTGTGGGTGGGTGTGTATCAGAGTTCCAAGAGTGCTCTCGATGGGGACAGGACACACGGGCAGCCAGATCTGGGGCCAACCCAGGGAGTTCCCGGGGAAGGGTATAGGGGAGAGTCCACCCGAATTGGTCCCAGACTCACCTCTAGTCAATGCCTGGCCATGGGGAACAAAGGCTGGGCTGATACTCAGGATGTTTCCACACCGATAGGCAGATCTAGCTGGGCCACAGTCAACCCTTTTATCCATATCTCTTCACTTGCAAGTGTTCTTTGCAGAGACATTGATCTGGCTCGAGGCCTCCTCCGGTTTGAGGTTTCTGCTACACTATCAATACTTGGCCCTCACTGGAACTCCTTGTGGTTATCCTGCTGTTGCCCTGTGCACTACTGAATATTAATGGTTGAGTTTCCCTGATTGAAAATACTTTCAGCATGTGCAAACAACTAGGATCCATCACCATCAAAGACAGATGTAAGCTTCAGGTGAAAAGATGGGAAAGGTCCAAGTAAATGGACATAGGAGACAAGCAAATGCCTCCCTCCCCGAGAGCTGAAAAATAGACTTCAAAATTAGTCAGAAGAGATAAGAAATTAACCATGCTGTTGAAGGGAGAGATTCTTCAAGAAGACAGTACAATTATTAATTTATTTTTATTATTTTGGAAACAGGGCCTCGATATGTAGCCCTGGATGGCCTGGTGCTAAGTCTGTAGACTAAGCTAGCTTCCTTACAGAGATCTGCCTGCTTCTGCCTCCCAAGTGCCAGAAGTAAAGACAGTTCACGGGCTTCCCTCCTCCTAAACACCATTTATTCTCTATATACCAGCAAGGCTTTCCCCTGCCCCGGATATTCTTGATTCTGTTGCAAATAGTCCTGGCCATGTCCAGTTTTTTCCTCTGCTTTGGATTCTTCCAGATACCACTGAATGTTCTTTCTCTTACTCACAATAACCCCACCACCATCACCATGGCGAAGCATTTATCTAATTATTCCTTATCAATAAAAAAATCAGGAGTCAAATATAGGGGTAAGAACCTGAAAGACCAGAGAAGCAGGGGAGCAGCCAGCAGTGGCCTCCTATCGCTTCCCTTCCTCCATCCGAAAGGACTGAGCCCTCTCTCAGCCCTCCCTTTCTAATGCCTGTATCCTCTCTGGCCTCAGTCCTCCAATTCCTCTTGGTCAGCTAGTGCCTAGCTCCACCCTGACTCCAAGCAAGCTTTGTTTTCAAAGTATAATCAGAATATCATACAACATCATGGAGTGGCCATTTCAGTGGGTTGTTTGTTTGTGTGTTTGTTTTTACCACTCTGTTGCTTACAATGTAAAGTTGGGATCTGGTCAATCATGTGCTCAGACAGACTGGGGAAAATAGGTATGGGTGGTGACCTCATACAGATGATGGTGGTTAGGTTCTGATGACAGCACCTTACAACAGTGGGAAGTCTTCTATATTTTTATTTATTTTGCAGTACTAAAGATAGAAATGAGAATCTAGCACATGCCAGACCGGTATTCTGCCGCTGAGCTACATCTCAACCTTCGAGTCTTTTAAAGAATACAAAAGAGAAAGGTAAAACACTACCCCCCCCCATAATTTCTTTTAATGATGAGCAGTGGTGAGAGATATACCTTTCATGCCAGCCCTTGGGTGGCAGAGGCTGGGGGATCTCTGAGTTCTAGGTCAGTCTGGTTTACAGAGAATTCCAGGACAGGCAGGGCTCAAAAAAAAAAAAAAAAAAACAAAAACAGTGGGGGGGGATATGCCCTCTAGTGAGAAGGGGGCAGGAAAGGACAGAAAATGGTATGTTCTTCCTGCACCCACAATGTGCAGTTGTCTAAGATTTGTCAATACATTTCCATCATCCTAGAAAGCTCCCTCATTAAACAAAATATTCTTATGTTTATTTTATGTGTATCTTTGCCTGCATGTGTGTCTGTGCACCATGTGCATGCCTGGTCAGAAAAGGATATCAGAGTCCCTGGAACTGGAGTGCAGATGGATGTGAATCACCCTGTGGATGCTGGGAATTGACCCCAGGTCCTCTGGGAAGAGTAATTGTTAGGAGGAGTCCACCAGAGATGACCACTCAGGCAATTTATAGACAATTGAAAGTCTTTATTCCAGCTGGCTGGGACTACACTCAAGTGTTCAGGGACCCAGATGTAGCCCCGAGTGTCCAGAGCATGGGTTGTTTGAAGGCAAAAACCACA